TTTCCAGACTTGAGGGCAACATTTTTTTTGGCCTAATAGAGGTCCATCCAAGTTAGACATGTATCAAGTATCATAGCAAAAATTAGAGAATTAATGATATCATCACAAAATGAACAAATCCAATAGACGTCCACCCAAGATACTTGCATATCAAAGCAATCAAGCTAGTCATTTTCAAGCAATTTTTGTTATTTCTAACCAACAAGGACAAAAGAAATATCTTCACAAAATGAAGAAATCTGACAAAGGTCCACCTAAGGTTTCGACATTAGTAAAACACTGTGAAAGACAATCAACAACTGCAATACAGTATCAACACACTCAATTATTCATCTGCAACTAAGGATGATTTTATTACATAAAAATTGTTCACAGGACAAAAAGATCACAATACTTTGTTGCTTACCGCAGATACAACTAAAGAGAAATAAATATATTGATGTCAACTGACTGGAAAGCTACAATTACTTTAAATACAATGGCAGTTCATACACAAGGATAACCAACTTATGACTGGGAAGATTTTTATACAGATGGGGTTTGATATATAAAATATTGCAAATATAAATAAAGTATCAAATAAAAAAATCTAAAAATGCCATACATTTGTAACATAACATTAGAATTATTGTTGAGTTCTTGAACTTTGGCTTGGTCAGAATTGTCATTGGCTGCCCACGCAAACACCACTATAAGTCTCGGCTGGATTTCAGGCATGCCTATTTAATGTATTCTGTTATAAACGACCACCACATTTTGCTAATCATTCAGAGTATTTTTGTGGCAGGGTGATCACTGTGTGACCAGAGCCCATACCTACATCAGATTTAACCATACTGCGAATAGTGTACAAGTACATGTTTAGACACTATTAGACTGAAAACCCAACAATTATACAATTTATTAAAATCTTGCGTTAATATTCACTAAAACATGACCAATTATTTGTAAGATGTTGCGAGTGAAATAAGAATCTGGATACCAGCAGATTGTGTATTTGCATATTTATTACTTCACAGATTCCTTTTTGACTTCAGTCTTTTTTGCGCTGCCAGGTTTTGTCTCCTGTTTCTTCATCACTTGAGTTAATCTGAGAAAATATATTTGCAACTCAGTATTTATGGGAAATGCACGCAATTCTTTACTTTGTGACTTTGAATAGACACCAATGCGAGACATGCAATGTATCAACAACTGATAAGCTTATAACAGATACAAATTTATTCTCATATCTAGTACAATGCTGATAAACCCAATCTTCTTTATTTCAACTGAAAAATGTGATTTAGTTTTAAAACTTAGATGATGTAATTGTAAGAAAAATTGTAAACCAGATTAATATCCCATGAGAAATTACTTGATCCAGACACAATTTGAATATTTTCTCTGAATTATGGTAAATTTAACTTTACCATACATGGTTGCTTCCAATCTTATAAAAATTGTATGGACAAGATGTGTTTGCCTTTGTCTCAAATGAACAATGTTTCAACAACATTTCGTCTAAGTATGCAAATTTGTAAATTCAACAACATATGCAGTTAACATATACAAAGTTTAAATTTGCATGACATGTACCAAGTTTAAACCAAATCCGTCCACACTCAGAATGGAGAAAAGTTTGATGCCTTTCTTGGCCTTAAAATGGCTGGCATTCAGCCATCTTGAATCAAATCATGAAAGAAATGTATATGCACATGTCTGATGTAATGTATGACATATGTGTGAAGTTTGTA